AATATTTTCATGCGTTTGCTCTTCTTGGGCGCTACTCCGTTGAACCTGCCATCGTGAGTGTGATTGCTCTGGTAGACCACTACCCCATGTACCGAACAGTTGCTTTGTGCGTGAAAAGCGGGAGAATCGCATGCTTCCAAGTTCATTCACTATCCCATTTTCCATTGGCTCACTTTGTAGCAGGGGCGTATGTCTAGGTAATCGTATGGTCTGCCATTTTGTCTGAATATTTGGGGTTCTGCTGCATCTAACGGTCTGTTTCGTGGAGCATTCTCCTTCATACGTACATTCATTCTCTGTAGAAACCAATCAACGTACAAGCTTGCGGAGAACAGGACAAATGCAAACTTCAGTCAAATTAGGCCGTCCTCTTTATGCACAAAAAAGGAGTGGTGAGGGTGAAAGGTACCAGCAATGTAGAGATGGAAACTTCTGTGTTAATATTCTTTGAAACCCTATTAAGATAATGCCAAAACGAACCATGGATGTCATGAACTGTTAAGACAATTTACCCGCGAAGACTAGTCCGTATTGTCGCGTGAAAAAGCAGAGGCTTACGGCCGTATGAGCCGGAATTCGAACAGGGCTTCTAATCAAAACATGCTTGTACGTCAACATCTTTGATCTAATAAACTGTGCAGGTTTTTTACACAATCATATCGGCCTCTTCTATGGGCAACAGAACACATCTTTCTACAGAGTGAGAGTCAGTGCGCAAATTTTAATAGGAAAGAGACATGAGAGAGATGAAGGGACGGAGGGGGGGGGGGGACTTCACAGCACCTAAGATGAACACTCTAAAACCAAGAGAGCAACCAACCGAAACAACTTAAGCCTGGATACGCGCTTCGGCAGCCACCAGGGTGGAAGTTCCACCGTTCTCTCTGGGAATGGGGCTGAATTGGCCACGTTATCGTCGCAGGCGAATACAAGCTGCTCTCAGCAATGCGAACGACAACCTGCACCGCATTTTGGCAAGTATTACACTGAAGGGTTCACCTGTCTTCTCCGTCTTCCGTGTGTTGAGGGCTGAAGCTGCCTTGCCTTGACCTCCAGTGCAGGACAAAACCACAGGAACAAAGGATGGCTGCTGGACAGCAGAAACGCGCTGCTCATATCTCCGCCTCTTCGCCTTGTCGTGTCCAGAGTAAGTATCATAAAGAGAAGAGGACGAATTAGAGACAACAAACGGGTTGAACACTCGCACATCCAGGAAGGCGCGTTCGAACCTACCACCGCAAAGGCCGCTCACTGCAATGTCCAAGCGGACTCCGTCCTCCCGAGCAGCAGATATCAGGCGGAAGATAAACTGTAGAGTGCATACTGCCACGCACGTACTTGCACACGTACCTTGCAGAGAGCGGCTTCTTTTCAAATCTTGCTTCTGTGTAACGACGGCTTCAAAATATCGGCTTCTATTCTAGTCATGCTTCTCTACAGGTCATGCTTTTCTACTCGACACTACAGTATATATTTTAGTTATGTTATGAAAAGAATGGCCCAAAAAGGGAAGAAAAACCCAAACATGGACTAAACAGTTTCCTCTGACACAAAAACGCGATAATATTCATAAAAAGTACACACTTCAGGCTCTTTACGAACATCTTGAAAGGACTAATCAAAGAACTAAACAAATTTGTGTGAAATACGGAAATACTGAGAGTGGGGTGAATGATTCCGTCTGAATGCATACGCCAGGCTGGCGTTCGTGAATGTAAACAGCTTCTAACACTTTCAAATGCGGAACTTTACGAGTAAGACATACTACTGATCCAGGAATCATCATGCAAATCACAACAACGCTGTACACGCACACTATTTCCGTAATTCTCATGGTTTCCTCCTATGTTTAGTCCATGTTTTTTTCTATTTCTTAACGTTTTTTTGCCATTCCTACACCACATTAGCTTGCTAGTTTACATTGTATCACAGATGCTGTCGCAGCTGCACAACAGACAGTCATCAACCAGCTGGAAACCCTGGGAAGCACTGGGAGAGCCCAATAAATCACAGCTGATATCAGTGACCAGAAATCTGGCTCTTCCAGACTCCCCCTGTCCATTTCCTTGGAATGGTCTTTGACGAGAAACTTTACTTCAGCACCCACCTGCCCCAGGTTTTCGTGCGCACATCAACGTCTCCATTTCATGCGGAAGAATGCCTCCATCCTGGACGCTGGTGTAGATCCTACGCACCACCTTTTTGAAGGGCTTTATGAGGCTTGTACTTGCGTATTGTACACTTGGTTTGCATGGTGCTGCCCAGACACGTCCGGGGAAGTTTGAAAAGTCACAGAGCAAAGCCATGTACATGTAGATTATTTAACCCAGACGGTTATGCCACAGTTCACACAATCCAATGTCACTGTGTGACGTTACACAGATTCCCAATTCACAGAATGACACTTCACAGAGGGCCAGTCTCACAGAATGCACCATTCACCGACACCCAATTCAACGAGAACCCAGTTCACAGACGGACTTGTTCACAGACAGCCCATTTCACCGAGAGTGGACAAAAGTGGTAAATGCGGCTCGATCTTCGGCAGGACGGGTAAGTTTCAGCGTGACTAACAATAATATCCACGCCAGAGGTGACAACGCACACGCGCCAGGTCATACATAAGCTCTTGATTTACGACTACGACTGTATTCGATTGCAGTGGCCCTGCGAATGCTGCCAGCGTTGGCTTTCGTACCAACTGGGGACGTGGCAACGTACTTCGAAGCGGTGGAGCATAATTTCCCCGACGACACCGAGGCAATCCTCACCCACTTCGAGCATTCGTAGCTGAGGGCTTCGCTACAGTCCGTCGAGCAGCGACCACCAAGAGAGTTCCTCCGGGGAGTAGCACATAATCTGGCGTTCAATGTTGTAGAATAGGCGGAACGGCTGAGGGCTCTGCTACAGTCCGTCGAACAGAGACCACCACTTATGTTCCTCCGTGGAGTAGCGCATAATTTGGCGTTCAATGTTGAGTATAGTAAATGACCATGTCACACGTGCATACTCTCATATTCTTCATATTTTGCTTTCGTTCGAAACAAAGCATGTTTGAGTGCATGCCTGATCAATTTCGGTGAAATGGGCCGTCGATGAAAACAGTGCCCTGTGAACTGTCTTTCGGTGAATTAGGTATCCTCTGAAATGGGCTGTCTGTCAAAAAGGTAGTCTGTGAAATGTCATTCAGTGAACTGTCGTTCGGTGAACTGTCGTTCTGTGAATTGGGTTTCTGTGAACTGTCGGGACACCCACTGTCCTTCAGAGTCTGCGAGCTTGACGGACAGTCTTGCAGTTCTGCAAGAAAGAGGTGTTTGTTTCGCTAGATACGGAGTGTCTCTGTAAGTTTGTTTCCCTGGTGATGTTTGTGCATGCAGAGCACTATGTAAGTGGTGCTTTTAGGCAGAATCGTCCTCAGCCTACTCAAGCTCAACTGATGAGGGGTGAATTCCCCGAAACACTGTTTATTGAGCAGGGAGTGGTGCTTTCTTGTACGTTTGCCGATTGGAAGGTTCGAATGACTTCTCGTGTGCTCTCTAAGGCAGTCGTGAGTCCGTCAAGTGAGAATTCAAATCGAGGAATAACGCAAGCTCCCACGTAGGGAGCAACACGCAATTGAGCATTAGAATTATATGAAGTATCTTCATGTAGTTACAGTGGTGGACAGTTACTCTTAAATCTTATTCGCATTTACTTTCCCTCTCTTTATTGTTATAATTTTGTTATTGTGCTTCTCATTTCTTACGTTTTCGTGGTTTACTGGCCTGGCAATGCAGAGTCTTATTGGTCAGTAGGTGGCCGCTAGCCTCTCCAGCACAGCTACTGTCTTTCACTGTGGGCAACGCCGTGCAATGTAATTGAAATATAATCCTCCGCAAATCGTACTCCCAAGTCTCGCTCTCTCTCTCTTAAACTTTCTCTGGCTGTTTCTTTCTCTCCTTCTGTTTTCTCTCTTTTTTCGTTGTCTTCTTAACTGTTAATTGTGTGCTTTTCAAGGAAATAAGAAGATGACATAATTGCCAACTATTTAGGTGTATATGCAACTCACAGCATTATGTTAGTCAATATGCGTTCAGCAACTCATCAAGAAAATGCAGCGCATTCAGACCATGCCCGCAGTCATAACTCCTTTTCTTGTGACAACTGGACGGAAAATGCTGCTTCTGCCTTCTATCAACGGCTGTCTGCCCTCATGAAGGAGAAAGATTGTTCCTCTGTTGGATACCATACCCATACGTCGCTCATCCAGAGCCGTGTGACCTTCGGTCTCCTACGTGTCGATATCACGTGTCTGCGTGGGAACCGCTCACCATTTCCCTGGCATATGGGGTTCGAGGATGCATCTCCAGATGTTCCTGTTGCCGAAGCAAGGCTTGTTGGCAACGAGTTAATTAACAAGGGTAACAGAAACAGACTGATGTAACAGAGTCTATAATGAACGGAGTTATTATTGGGTGCAGATAGTCAAGTTAAAATTTCTTTTTCTTTATAAAAAATATTTTTGTGCTTTTTCGCTAGTTGGTGTGCCTGGTCTGTGATATCATATTCTGTCCTTGCCCGTATAAGAGGCTTTTTCATAACAGACCTTGCCCGCAGTGATGACGTTGATAAGGAGACCTGGTGGCTGGTGGAGCGAATATGTACAGGTACATTATGCCCGATGAAGCAGGCTGGATGCGGGTTTGCATATGAGGATACCCACTACTAATCCTGCAAGGCAGGTCCATATACGCGATCCTGACGTCCACCAAAATAGCAGTAGCAGAAATGCCAGGTGGGAAATAGAGCACGCCTTTTCCTTCACGTGGATGCGCATATGTTCACATGCTCACTGTTGTTACGAGGCTCTGTGTTTATTTCACCGGAAGCAGCAGTGACCACCTGTGGACCAGGATTCCCAGGGAATTTGCGTCAGTAGTACTTCGTTCAGGCGAGAACTGCATGCAGCCTGTAACTCATCAAGTAGGCAGTTGTCAGATAGAGGACAAAGTATAGACCGTGTAAACAATTACAGCTTCACTGACCTGTGAAGAAGAGAACATCTTCGTTTCTAGTCCAAAGGCTGGAAACCGCTGTTGACTGAGGAGTTACTGTAACACGAAGCAAGGAAGAACAGGAAGACTGAGGACAGACCGTGGATGCATTTCAAGTAAGTCATTTTGATATCATAGACGACGTGAAAACTCCAGTCCAAGGTTATATCAGCTGTCATGGGCTAAAGCCTAATTATCGTATTCAAGACGGGGGAAACCATTCTTAGTTGTATTGCGGGGAGACAGTAGTTCCAAACAAGAACAATATGAGACGGCTTGCCGCCAATTCCACCCTTCCCTAGCCTCCGAAAGCAACATAACCCGAGTTCACCATTTTTATGTCTTTTGGAGATTCAGTGCAGGACAAAATGTTGTGGTAGGCCAAGTGCCTAAGCGGTATTCAGGATGGGAAAGCTTGAACATAACAAACAGTAAGCGATCATGCGCTGATCCATTAATGCCGTTCAAATCCCATGCTGACGAAGATGTTCGTATGGCGGAAAGAATAAACACACACTAATTCTTTTCTTCAGAACATCTCCCAACACCACTTTCGGCGAATTATTTCACTCTGGGCTTGTCTAGTTACGTGTCCACGTACACAGTGGTGTGATTTATGTCTTAGGTAGAACTTCGGGTTTTTTCTGCAGCTCGGAGTCTTTCTGAGTCCCCTAGCATCGTTAATTTTGTTAACGAGAGAGCTTGGAAGCTCGGGGCCCTACGCTTTACTTTTTTTGCCTAGCTCATCATGCATGTGCCAGACGTTACTGCACTATCGCCCTGCATGCATTCCCCCGATGCACTTCACATACACATATACCAGGACTCTACAAGTGGACCCTGGCTGGCGCCAGACGTTTCTGCATAGTGCACTGTCGCCCTGCATGCATTCCCCCTATACACTTCGCATACATGATAATCGGTTTGTGTGGACCCTGGCTAGCGGCAGACGTTACTGCATGCACTATCGCCCAGCATGCATTCCCCCGATACACTTCGCATACATGCCTGGCCTCTACAGACCCTCTTCTTTCCTCAATATTCACCCTCAAGTCGGCTGCTACTTGCACCGAGAGGCGCACTAGAGGGCAATCATTCTCTTCACTTTCTTTGCCCGCTGCTACCACTATATATGGCATGTTCTGTATTTCTTTTCTTGGCGCTGATAGGTGGAATTCTCTGCCTGTCTCATGTTGTCAGGTTGAGCATCTATCCGTTTTTGTTCCGCTCTGTAAAGACCACTTAGGGTTCCCTGTAACAAGACGGCAATGTCTGTAGGGCCTTCCCTATCAAAAATTTATAATAAATTCTACTATTACTACTACTACTACTACTACTACTACTACTACTACTGCTGCTGCTACTACTACTACTTCTACTACTACTACTACTACTACTACTACTACTACTACTACTACTACTACTACTACTACTACTACTACTACTACTACTACTACTACTACTACTACTACTACTACTACTACTACTACTACTACTACTACTACTACTACTACTACTACTACTACTACTACTACTACTACTACTACTACTACTACTACTACTACTACTACTACTACTACTACTACTACTACTACTACTACTACTACTACTACTACTACTACTACTACTACTACTACTACTACTACTACTACTACTACTACTACTACTACTACTACTACTACTACTACTACTACTACTACTACTACTACTACTACTACTACTACTACTACTACTACTACTACTACTACTACTACTACTACTACTACTACTACTACTACTACTACTACTACTACTACTACTACTACTACTACTGAACTTCGCCTTTATTTGAAAACAAACCGGGTATCAGAAAGAAGAAACTGAAAAGCGCAAGCAAGAAAAGCAATGGTGACAAAACCATTCAAGAAATTAGCAAAAATCAAATCAAATAAATAGGAAAATCCAATCAGAAAATAAAATAAAATAAAAGAATCAAGCCAACTAGGGAATACAAAAACAAAGAGCAAACCCGCAAACACCATCCAAGCATCGCTACTACCAGTACGGTGACGTTTCCATTCACCCAACCGCTCAAACGCTTTTAAAACGAAAACAAATACAACAGAACACTCTGAGACAGAATGAAACCAACTACTACTACTACTACTACTACTACTACTACTACTACTACTACTATTACTGCTACTACTACTACTACAGTTGCGCTCACTGAAATCAGACCTAAAGTACAAAGCTGACGCCTGGACCAATTCCGATTATTGTCTGCGTACATGATTGTCTGCGTACATGTGTACTGCTGCATTCATTCCACTTCCAGGGCGCCAAAGGCCGTGGAAGCTGAGGGCGCCAGCTTTGCACGTTGGGTCTGATTTCAGTGAGCGCAACACTACCCCCGATACATAAGTACATATTTATTATAAGTTTTTGTGGAGCCTGGCTATCGCCAGACGTTACTGCACTATCGCCCTGCATGCATTCCCCCGCATACACTTCGCATACATAAATTCCAGCCCTCGACAGTCACTCATTTCTTGGTGTTTACCGATTTACTGCTATACATAATGCTACTATACATGTACGGTACGGGACAGAAACGAGATAGCGCCAGGCGTGACACAAACGAACAAACACGAAATTAAAGCTGTGTGGACCCTGGCTAGCGCCAGACGTTGCTGAAATAATGTCTTCTGCATAGCTAGGGGAATTAAATTTTGATCTCATTCCTTGCACGTTAAATTTTGATTACATTCCCTGCACGACCAGGCTAGCAATAACAGAAGAACCTATATTGTAGTGTAGTGCAGTGTATGGGTTATAAAACACCTAGAAACAATTGCCTAATACTTAACACTACTCGATTGAAAGTAGTCTGCTATGATTACAATAGGGTTGGAGACATCTCCTGCGTGCATTAATGATGTTTTTTGTGCATTCAAAAAAAGATTGAATCTCGGGGTCAGAACAAATAGTAACAGGATCAAAGTGCTTATACGGCAGGTCACTGAGGTGCTGCAAACCTGTTTTCTCATTCACCTTCTAATCCAGGGAAAAAGCGCCAGCCTCACCATCAGCGGCCATGTACTGATCAGAAATGACAATTTCGTCGTCCTTATTGTTGTTACTCTATTTTACTTCACGAGAATTACAGGAAGTAGAATGCCTTCTCACTAGACCAGGTCGAGTTCTCATATGATGAAGAATGTGATTGGATCCGCTGTAGCTAATGAAAACAGATATTAGAAAATATGAGAAAAACTTGTTTTTTATATTTTATGACGGTATTTGTATGTGAGTGATAGTGACTACATGACATGGGAAAGAAAGGAAAAAAGAAAGAAAGAAAAGAGTAAGGAATAAACGAAGCAGATGTATGAAATAGAAGTAGAGAAGTTGAGGTATTTGAGGAGAAAAGTTAGTTTGTCGATTAGAGACAAACTAACAGACAAACTAACAAAAGATCAAATGCATATGTCTAACAAATGCGTCAAGACAGAGAAAGCTCGTCAAGAACATCTGGGCACAGCGCGGGTATGAAACCCAGAATATCTTCATCGCAACGAATATTTGCCGGAAGCCTGTTGCAATACACGCTGTCTACGAACAGCATGGACGCTCGAAATGCTGGTCCACGAACGAATGGAACTTGGAGAAGGTGTGAGATCTGGCCACGTGTAACACGGCTTTTGCTTTGCACAAGACCAGGTTCAGCGATTAACAGAAGGAAAAGCGAAAATGGCATGCTTGCATTGGAGCCAAGGCATCAATCGACAAAAACAACAATCTTCGTACGTGAATATACTACAAAAAGCATATAGGAGATGATCCAGCAACATTATAAAAATCTTTCTTTAGAGGTTCTCCCAGAGGCGAGAGAATTCTATGCGATGTTTCTAACGGAGCCGGAGCTGTAACAAAGGTTTCCTGCGTGCAGATAAGTGTCGAATCACGAGATGTAGATGAAGTCTGGTTGATGAAAGTGACAAAAACCAGAGCACGGCAATAGCACGGAAATAAGTGTAGAAATGCTTACAGATTCCGCACTTAGAGACGTTGCAGGATCGACTGTTACGCCAGATAATTCTCTGTCATAATGCAAATCAGCGCAATTCTGAAGTGTTGTGTATAAACGAGACAGGTCCAAACCCAAATTATTCAGATAGAGAAGTAGCCTTGCACAACCGACACATTATTACGGGCATGCATACATCCAAATAACTCGATTTAATGGCAATTTTGCTTTGGACACACTCTGTTACGTTCCATACAAGCCAATTTTCTCCACTTACATGTTGTGGTGCTACTCACATGTGCCTGTGTTCTTCTGCTGATCTATTTTCTCATTACCGCATATTCGTTGTTTGTTGTACGACTATCACCTCGTTTCTACTAACCGCTAGCACATTTTACTTGTCCATGTTCATGATTCTTTCAAGTAGTTCTCCTACTCACCGGTATGTTGCGTAGTCCACTGGGGACTGTGACAAAATGGCCGCTGTTAACAAATCAGTTTCTCAGTTCTTTTTCTATATCCCAGATGGGCTTTCATTATACAATCCTGCATTTCGACACATAAACGAAGCTTATGGCACATGCCTCCTGTTACTGTATTCGAAAAAGTATAACCAAAAGTACTTTACGAAACTACCCAAAACATACCCCCCCCCCTTCATAAAATTAATACCTACTGTTTTCTTTCCTTTCATTTCATCTTCTTTTCCGTTCCTTTCTTCTTCATACACATTTAAAACATTTTCATCATATTGTGAGAGCCGTGGGCCAACAGCCCCGGTGAGAAGGCAGTCTTGCCTGTTCATATGGTGAAGTAAAATAAAGAAACAACAACAAACTACACGTTACGCTATGATGTCCACTGATACGATCAATTACTGGACAATCAGCTCATGGAAAAACATAGCATGACACTGACCAACGGTATTGACGTTCTACAACTGACTGCCAATCAACTCTTACACGTCTTGGATGCGCACTCCTACTACCTTCCAATTCGCAAGGTTCTAAGATATAGTACTAACATAGGAGGGGGAAGGCGCGTGCGGGTGCAACCAAGACAGGTGATATCGCATGAGCTGATTGTCCAGTATCTATGTATTGGACAATACATAGATCAGGTTCGGCCTCATTTTCTCTGTGCTGCGCTGATGAGTTCAAAAAGAACGAAACAGCATGCTGTCCGCAGATTGAGTATTTCGCTCCTGCTCTTGTAGCAGTTGAGCACTCTTGCGTGGGGTAGTGCCTTTGCTGTTTGCGTTATGCAGAGCTCACTGACTTGTCAGTTTGAGCACTCTGGCAAGGTACGTTCGGGCCTGATTGGAAATTTTTATTTCCATTGCTATCAGGTTCGGCCTCATTTTCTCTGTGCTGCGCTGATGAGTTCAAAAAGAACGAAACAGCATGCTGTCCGCAGATTGAGTATTTCGCTCCTGCTCTTGTAGCAGTTGAGCACTCTTGCGTGGGGTAGTGCCTTTGCTGTTTGCGTTATGCAGAGCTCACTGACTTGTCAGTTTGAGCACTCTGGCAAGGTACGTTCGGGCCTGATTGGAAATTTTTATTTCCACTGCTATCAGGTTCGGCCTCATTTTCTCTGTGCTGCGCTGATGAGTTCAAAAAGAACGAAACAGCATGCTGTCCGCAGATTGTATATTTCGCTCCTGCTCTTGTAGCAGTTGAGCACTCTTGCGTGGGGTAGTGCCTTTGCTGTTTGCGTTATGCAGAGCTCACTGACTTGTCAGTTTGAGCACTCTGGCAAGGTACGTTCGGGCCTGATTGGAAATTTTTATTTCCATTGCTATCAGGTTCGGCCTCATTTTCTCTGTGCTGCGCTGATGAGTTCAAAAAGAACGAAACAGCATGCTGTCCGCAGATTGAGTATTTCGCTCCTGCTCTTGTAGCAGTTGAGCACTCTTGCGTGGGGTAGTGCCTTTGCTGTTTGCGTTATGCAGAGCTCACTGACTTGTCAGTTTGAGCACTCTGGCAAGGTACGTTCGGGCCTGATTGGAAATTTTTATTTCCATTGCTATCAGGTTCGGCCTCATTTTCTCTGTGCTGCGCTGATGAGTTCAAAAAGAACGAAACAGCATGCTGTCCGCAGATTGTATATTTCGCTCCTGCTCTTGTAGCAGTTGAGCACTCTTGCGTGGGGTAGTGCCTTTGCTGTTTGCGTTATGCAGAGCTCACTGACTTGTCAGTTTGAGCACTCTGGCAAGGTACGTTCGGGCCTGATTGGAAATTTTTATTTCCATTGCTATCAGGTTCGGCCTCATTTTCTCTGTGCTGCGCTGATGAGTTCAAAAAGAACGAAACAGCATGCTGTCCGCAGATTGAGTGTATTGGACAATATACTTTTTCCGTTGAATTCTTCCTTGGCACCGACTTTTCGTGTTTATTCGCACTTTGTTTTGCAGGTTCGTCCATGCAGCCCGACACGATGAAACTGGTAAAGGCATGGATTTGTATTCTTCAATGTTTGGTGCTTTTGCGGAGTAGCACCGACGCTAAGACGCATGTCGGTAAGTTGGTTGAGATCCATTCAAATTGCCCCTGAAGTAGGAGAAGGTCTGATCTATGTGGATCGTGTACAAAGAACGTAGATAGACAAGGAGTGTGACAAAGAGACTACGGCTTCGGGTATTCAAGCTCCGGTTTCTCATGCTGAGCTGAGTGTCTATACTTTAGATTAGTTACAGACACAAGAGAACTGCGCAGCATACTAATTCGTGAGATTACTGTCAAGGTTGAAAAGGTCACTTCCAAATTAACAATCGGCAGGATATCTTTGCGTTAGAGTGAACGCATAGAGCGACCAAGTGTTCCTGTTCAGATTCCCAGTCAAAGATGCCATTCCACCTAATCAAACATGTAGCAGTTAATCCGATTTCCTTTCTGGCGATGATAGGAGAAACGTTCTTTTGTTTGTAGCTAATTTAATATTCTCTCAAACTAGATTCTCCATCAAAGACCATTAATTTTACCATTTTTTATTTTTGATTCAGGTCCGTATGATCAATAAACTGTAGTACGAGCATGAAAAAGTTTTTAGCTTCGAGTTTTACGCCATAAGCGATCATCAGAAAACAGCAATGAGTAACTATGGATACTAGTTTATACAACCACAAAGCAAAAGTGTAAATGATAGCAGTTGATCCACGCACTGGAGCGGGTTGAATGCTGCATGCCTTCGCTTCAACCCTTTTGCCCCGTACGTACTGCGATAGGCGGGTGTCATTCTCGTGTCGTCTGTGGCGAAATCATGATTGGCGGTTATGGTAACGTTGTTTGAATGTTGTTGCTATTAATCCAGTATATTCCTCCTTCTCTAAGCCTGTGGTGACTCTTGCCCTATACACGATGCTCTCTGTTATACACGCTGCGCCCATTGTCAATAAAGTACAGCGTATCTGGCTAAAGTACTTCAAAGTACGAAGTTTGCGAAAGAACACTGATGTGCAAGGTCTAACGCCTTCACCCTCTTTATCCTCTGTTGACCGAACGCTGGCTCAACCTGAGAAAAGAGGGCTTGAAATCCCATGAGCTCTCGCTGTGCTTTTTTTACTTATGTCCTTATATGTGTTACTCGAACTTATAGAAACATTTATGCACATGCGATTATTGGTCACATGTTTTTGTATCGCAATGCCATTTCTATCAGTTCGAGTAACGCACATGAGGACATCCGTTAATTGAAAGCCTAACAAGGGCTCTTGGGCTTTTAAGCCCTCTTGTTCCAAATTGTTAGGTACCTCCTCCCGTACCTTTTCTAGCTGGCATGCATGCAATCGCGTACTTACCTTTTGTCTCCTTTTGTTCCGTTGGCCTGGGTAGCCACTGGCGCGCCCATAACTGCCATAGCTACCCAGGCCCTTTATCTTGCCGTTCAGACTTGCTCTCTTTTCTCGCTCTTCAATAATCACCATGTAGTCGTTTCGTTCGTCTTGGTCTCTTGTCCCGTCTATAATAAATGTCGTTCCACCAACCTATCTGTTCCCGTTGTAATGTCTGGATAACAAGGCGTCAGTCGTCCTTTTTGTATTCAACAAAATTATAAAAAAATGAACCTAACCTTTATCATCCCGACCATACAAGGAATTGCCCTATCATTACGAAATGTCCCACACAAGTGTATTCGGATTGAATAACCTCGGTGTCGAAATATGATTGAATTCGGATCAAAGATAGCCCTGTTAGTGGAATGTTCCCATATGGGAACAACGGGATCACGGGCGCATAAAAATACCCGATTTGGACGACACTATTTCGAGTAATCAGCCCAGGATTCACTCAAATGAGAGTGGAAACCTAATGGATTGGTGAGAGAAACATTTTCCAGTGTTGGACGACGTCCCTTGTGTCAAAATATCCAAAAGCATTTGATAAAGAAGATGCCCAGGTCAAACTATTCAACGATTGTATATGAAATGAAACGAAGTCGCTTTTATGAAGGCATGCCGTAGTGTACACTGAGTGATCGGAAACTAGATAACGAAGCATAATGCTGAATGCTGAATTATGCTGAACATTTGTAGTCGATTTTCGAACAATCAGCTGATTTTGCATCCGAATATGATGTATTTTTGAGCTTAGGGAAAGTCGATTATGCGAAAAAGCGGGCCGATTTGTGGAAAGCCTACTCCTCCTCGATTGCTCAAAAAATCAAATTCGTAAATGATCGTGAAGAAAAACCTCCATAGCACGAACAAAAATTCAGCGTATTTCAGGGGTCGATGCGACTAACGGCTTCACTCAGCACAAGCCACTTTCAGCGCAAGCTGGAAATGGCTTGTTTGATGTGACTGCGGACTAACAGCAATTGGCCACATGGAACCGTGGAACCGGAAATCTATTCTATATTTATCGCCATATGATTCTGTTGAAAGCTTCTGGCCCTGCTGTGAGAGCTTCATTTGTGACAAGTTTATGCACTTCTCTTTGAGTTGGAAATGAAGAATGACAGGAAAAACTGTGCACTTTTTGTAACCGAAGTTACCACCTGTACAAAGTATTGGTAGCTTTACAAATAATTTCAAACACATTAGGTTGCCATAGTGATTTTCCATGGTAATTATCGTTGGCCGAGATGACGTGGAAATAACGTCAATGCATCCTGGCGAGGTATCATAATGTCTTTTCAGGCGGTAGATGAGAAAATCAGATATTTCTACAAACCATTCAGAATTGGGTATATTTTGGTAGCCGTTTTCCCGTTGCTCGGATATGAGAAAATAGTATTTCGAAGCCGTTCATGTATAACTTCTGTATGAATGGCCACATTCCAACAATATTTGGCAGGCACAGCCCCACATCATAGGCAAAACATACTTCTTTGGAAAAATTATGATATGTGGTCATGCATCTAGGTATACACTTCAGACATAAACTGCTTTCGATACACGCTTACTTGGCTCAGTATTGGGAGTGCGTTGCACATAGGAGGCTGGATGTACCTCCAAACTCAATATTAGTCTGGGTTCATATTGGAACCATGAATCATAAAAAAATTGAAAATGTATCGCTCTCACAATTTTGTGGCCCACAAAAATCCATTTCCTAAAGCTTGTTACCATATTGGAACAATGGTAGGATACAGGTCAAGCTCATAAACACACATAGATCCATATATCTATCACTAGCTCCCAGGAGAGGTACATTTTGTTCACATAACATGTGATTCTAACCCTATTGCCCTGCATGCATACCCTCGATGCACTTCGCATACATACACATCCTACCACGTTGTTTCAGATTATCATTCTGCCGTTGAAAGGCCTATTCGAATATGGTGGCCAGCTACATGTAGCTCTCTTTGACGGAACAGTACTGGACACATGGCGAATCCCGTGATGATGCTGTACCGCACACACACACACACACACACACACACACACACACACACACACACACACACACACACACACACACAGTCACTCTCACAACACACACACACATACACAGTGACTCACATGCGCACACCATTGGACCATTGGACGCCCATCGCCGGAGGCGATGATAGCGATGCTACAGCAGAAGCCATAGCAACTTTTGCTGGGATTGCACCATTCAACAGCTTGCAAGGCTGAAGAATTGGCCCCCACTATTCAGCCTGGTCTACACCACACAGCTATGAAGTGGTTTTTCTGGCCAGTGAATCCCTACTTTTTGGTCTTTTTATTTTTATTTTTTTCCTGCACACACATCATACCACATACTCCGGCATGCACTGGCTGTTGGTAACCACCCAGGAGAATGAAAGAAAAGTCAGGAAGAGTCTGAGAAAGAGAAGAAAGACGTGTGTGACCATAATCATCGGGAATCGAACCCGCAACCTATCGATTGGAAATCGCTGCACATACCACTGCACCATATGGCACACACATGCGCACACACACCCACACACACACACCCACCCCCCCCCCCACACACACACACAAACACACACACACACACACACACACACCAACATACATACGCACAATTAGAGCCCTGGGGACCCTGGGTAGCGCCAGAAGCTTCTACATTAACGTTGATTGCATAGCTATTGTAATAAAATCATCATTGAACTCTTTAGAGGATCATCTCGGTTGTTTTTACCCTTTATTCTCGTCGCAGAACATTTCAATTGCAATGATGCCTTGGGAACCTACCTTATCAGTGGAAATAGCTGGCGTATACAAGCGAGCGCTTTAGCTCCATCACAATGCACTTCGCGTAATTACGTTCTCATAACTCCCCAGGATGTCGGCGGTACATGTGTGCAGGATTTCATGAAACATTTAAGCAACCGATTGGGAGAAAACATTACAGTCTGGGCCAGCGATACTTCTTCTCTATCATGCTATAAGAATATTCCAGTGCAGTGTCCTGCAACTGCTGCCGTCATTTGCAAAAACAACTTACCGGCCGCAGGTAAGCGTTACTGATCTATGTTATTCATTCTAACTAAACAGTGTGAGCCTTCTGACTCTGTATAGTTGCTTCACGTGGTCTCAAAACCAATAGAAGAAAGATAGATTTACTTGAAATATGTTCACTATGACTACACTGATGGACAAAAAATTCACGGTGGAGGACGGGAGCACTTCTGGAGCTCCTGCTCCTGCCTCATTTATGTTTAGGGTCCACGAGGACTGGCCTTTGGACCATGTATTTTTTATCAAGGAGCTGTCTAGACTGGGTGTTCAGCCCTCCGAACTCAGCCAACTGGACCTAAACGGGAAGCCTGGCTGGTGCAATGTCACCTTCGTCACGCAAGGAGTGCGCGACCGCCTGTTGACGTCAGAGGAAGAATTCGAATTTGCCAGTAAGAATGTCGAAGTTGTAATGGGAGGCATGTCAGTTATGACTCTCCATGTATTCGGATGCCCCCTGTCATTGCATTATGGTGCTTTTGTGCATGAAATTTCACTCTATGGTCGGGTCCATGGTCCTCCAAAGAGGAAGATTGTTAGCCATGAGGGCTTTGCAGTTGACACCGGGACCAGGTATGTCAAAGTTTCCCTGAGGAAGGCTGTGCATTCTGGCTTGCGAGTAGGTTCCCGTCCCGTAAAATTATGGCACAAAGGTCAAATTCAAACTTGTTGGCGCTGCAGTGTCTCTGGCCATCTCGCAAAAGACTGCCCAGGTACAGCAGCTGTAGGTGCGAGAAATGGCGTACACAACTCGCAGACCAACATGTCCTACGCAGACTCCTTGCAAGGGCAATTGAGTACTAGTACGGGTCACCAAGAGGCGCCAAGCCAAGAACAGATAAATGAAAGCCCTCACACAGAAACAGCAGCAGTTGATGTTGGCGCCAGTGCGGGAGAGTCCACCGTACCTGACAAGGTCAATGGGAAGCCTAGCACAAGATCAGCTGGGACGCGCAAGAACCAGACCCCCCGCAAGCACGTACATACACACACTGTTGAAGATGAAAACAGCTGCGACAAGGTCAAGTCGTCGGCGGATGAGCTCCCGGAAAATAGAAGCTCGGAAGATGTCGGCTCCGAAATGGAAGACGAGAACGGTGGCTCTGATTCTGAAGCTTTCACAGATGTTCGTACCAGGAAGCAAAGGAAAGCCAAGAAGCCCATCAGAATCCGCTCACAGCCGAGGATCTGGCGCCGTAGCCCATAGATTGATTCTTCGCTCGCACGATTGTTCTTTATCTTCGTTTTGATTGCTTTGTATTGTGTTACGCAAGTTTTCTCCTATACATCACCATTTTCACCAGGCACAGTACCCCACCAAATAGGTCAACTCCCTTGACAATTGCATTCCTAAATGTTTGCAGTCTGCGACACAAGACACATGAAATTAAGGCACTCCTAGATAGCTCCCAGATCGACGTTATTGGCCTTGCAGAGACATGGCTGGATGAGACTATCAGTAATGGAGAACTAGTCATCCCAGACTACTACTACTCCCTCGTGAGACTTGACCGTGGGCGCCCAGGAGGCGGCGTGGCATTCTACTATCGCTCATCTCTTGCTCTCCAACCTCGGCTGGACCTTGCGCAGAATGGCCTGGAAGCTCTTTGGTTACAGACAACGAATTCTGGGACAGCCCACCATGTATTTGCTTGTGTCTACCGCCCACCAACTGAGCCTATCAGCTTTTGGACCCGACTAGAGAGAGCGCTTGACGGAGCCTCACGGATAACCCCATCGATAACTCTCCTCGGCGATTTCAACACGAATGCCAGACCGCCTGGTATTAATACCAGCAGGACACACTATCAAACTCGCCATCTATTTGACTTGGCAGGTGCATATGGTCTGGCAAACCATGTGGATAGTGCCACGCGCGTGACGCCCGACTGCCCCCAAGGTACCGTAATCGACCTAATCCTAGCCCGTCCCGAAACAGTAGCGATGTGCCATGTCATTCAGTGCACGATCAGTGACCAGTTTGCAGTTCTTGCCAAGCTGGACATTTCCGTGCCCAAGCAGTCGACCAGGAAGCCGGCTACATCCACCCGAAATCTCCGCAGCATCAATATAAACGACTTCCGAAATGACCTTACTGCTGCAAACTTGTATGCTTTTCCTGCTCAGGCTAACGTGGATGAAATGTGGCAAGACTGGCATTCAAAGTTTATAACTGTTCTGGATCGCCATGCTCCATTCACTTGCAAGCAAAGCCGGAAACGCCCAAGCGAACCATCGTGGTCGGACAGAGAGCTGTATCAGCTCACTATGCGGAAGAACAGGCTGCACAAGCGTTGGCTATCGGACAAAACTTGCCAGCAGGCCCACTCAGCGTTCAAACAGGCCCGGTCCGCTGCATCAAATGCCTACAGGCGTAAACGGAACGAGTTCTTTCGAAACAAGTGCGCGGAGAACACGGGAAACCCCCGTCAGCTATGGTCCGTCATAAACTCCGTTACCGGTCGAAAGCGGACACATCAGGAGCCATCGTGTGGTGTAGAGGCGATTACGTCTGCTTTCGAGACTGTCGTCACCGACATCACTCGGCCATCCAAACTACTCCTGCCTGCGGGAACCCCTGCAGAGCGTTGGCTATCGGACAAAACTTGCCAGCAGGCCCACTCAGCGTTCAAACAGGCGCCCTAGTGTCCTTTCCACCCGTCACAGTGGGTGCTTTGGAGCGCTTGCTGCAGCAAGTCAACCCGGCCAAAGCTACTGGAAGTGATGGAATCCCGGGTCTCCTAATCAAGTATTGTGCTGATATATTAGCTTCATCTCTTACCACATTATTTAATGCATCATTATCCAGCGGCGAAGTTCCACAGCAGTTCAAATTAGCTCACGTTGTTCCGCTCCACAAGTCTGGTGATCCCTCTGTTCCCAAAAATTTCCGACCGGTATCACAGCTACCGATACTGTCCAAAATCCTTGAGAAGGTCGTGCAGAAATCGTTTGTGGAACATGTCGCACGGATGAACATCTTGCCAGTGACCCAATTTACGTTCCGTCATGGGCACTCTACGGAAGACGCTCTTTCCCTACTAACTGACAGAGTCGACACTGGGCGAGATGACGGTCTAGTTGTGGCAACCTGTCTTCTAGATATGTCGAAAGCCTTCGACAAAGTCAAGCACAGCATTCTTATCCAGGATCTTTTTGACATTGGCGTTACTGGAGGAGCACTGACTTGGTTCAAACATTACCTGTCAGGTCGCCAACAGCAAGTGCGCACTGGTACCGGACTCGGCAGGGTTGTTACATGCACCTGCGGTGTTCCGCAGGGTTCGGTCCTGGGGCCGCTGCTCTTCAGCATATACACTAGAGACGTACCGACTGTTACCTGCCCGACTATGTCAATCCAGTTTGCAGACGATATAGCCTTGACTTCCACCCGCCGCAGCGCTGACCTCGTTTCTTCTGAGCTCACAACAGCCGTCTCTAACCTAGCTCGCTGGCTAGCCTCCCGTGGTCTCATCCTCAACGCCACCAAGAGTCAGCTCCCTGTCTTTGCAGGATCCAATGGCCAGAGTCCCAACGTTGTGGTAAAGTGCGATGGCATACCCGTGCCAAGCGTCACCAGTGCCGGCTACCTTGGCATCACCTTGGATGTACGCATGTCATGGCAGCCCCAGGTCGATGCGAGCATCACGAAAGCCAATAAGAAAATTGGAACTGTGTGGCGGACACGAAAGTCGCTAACACTTGCTAGCCGTGTGCTGTTCTTCAAGGCAGCTATCATGCCGGATCTACTGTATGGGTCCGTTGCGTTTAGCCCAGGTCTCACTCAGGCCCAGACCGACCGACTCCAAGTAGCACAAAACCGTGGGGCAAGAGCAGTTTATGGCCGGCCGGGGTTCTCTCGTGCCAGTGATCTCCTGGAACGCGTGCAGGTGTTCAGGATTGGAGAAATACATCGGCAGAAGGTCCTGGTCTTTGTCTGGAGGTGCATACACGCCAGTGCGAGTCCATCCCTCCAGGAGCTCTTCGTACGCTGCGCGGATCGTAGGACGCGCCTGGATCTCGCCCTGGGGCTCCGTCTACCAGCTACACGAACCCGCGCCGGACGATCTCGCCCTGCCTTCCGAGGTAGTGCCCTTTGGAACGTCCTACCGGATGCAGTCAGAGTACTGTCGTCTCTCAGCAGCTTCAAAGCTGCCGTCGTACCGTATACCCCCCCCCCCGATCTTCCTGATGTTATGATTAGAAACTTGCCCTGAGACAGCTTCCTGTCTGTGATTGATTTTCACTGTTTACCATTATTATTTGCCATGGCGACCCCCGTAAGTCCGTAACTGGCAGGGCAGGGTTGGGCCTTTCATCCTCCCGATGTTAGTAGCAAGTACCGGTACTCTCGTTAGCAGTAACTGTTAGTACTTTGTTTGTTTGTTTTTTATTTATTTTTTTCTCTATTTTATTCTCTTTACCAGGCGTGGGCCATCCCCTGGACAAACAAAATGGGTGCCTTATTATTATTTTTCTGTTTCTGTTTTAATGACAGTCCACTGCACGCCTGAAAAAGTACTTAGTTTATTAGGCGGGTTACAGAACTATCGACTTATCGTTCGCTGGCTTACTTGTAGTTTGATAACGCTTTGCTCTTCATTGAGATATCTACCATTCTCTCTTTGTTCTCCTTATTTTCTCCCCAACCCTCCTTCCCTGTAACATAATAACATATTCGCTGCCTTGTCATTGAGCATTTGTGCTCGTTTGGATTTGCGAATTCAAATAAAGTATACATACATACATACATACATGGGCAAGATATATAAAGTCTTACACGGATTCTACGAACTACTGGAATACTTCTATATAACCGAATGAATTTGTATTCATAAGATTGTGTAAAACACGTTAAACCCTAGAACAACCGGAGACATGATAATTATGATGCGTTTGCGTATTTCGAAATGGGATTGCTGTGATAAGGGGAGGGGGGGGGGGGGTGGTAGAATCTCCCCAACTTTTGTGACTTCTATTTATTTCGTATTTTGTAAG